GCGTCTCGTCCCGCGTCGCCTGTTCGTGCTGCTCGCGCTAGTGGTCGCGGTTCGCGTCAGCGTCCTCCTCCTGTCCCTGGCACGCACCGGATGTCTCTGCGTCCGTCCACTGCTCCTCTGCGTGCCCCTTTGCCTTCTCCTCCTGAGTCCTCTCTTCCTGCGCTTGCTGACCCTGACTCGGACTCCCTTCGTGCTGCCAGTCCTACTGTCACGCGTCTGCTTGCCACTGTCGTCACTGACCCCTCGTTTGAGTCCACTGCTGCGTCTGCTCTTGTAGCTGAGCTCGTCGACTTTGCTGCTCGCTATCGTCTAGACTACGCTGCTAGTCTTGTTGCTGAGTCTGCGTCTGTCTGTCCTCCGTCCGTCGGGGGTGAGTGTGCTCTTGGCACGGACGTCCTAGAGGACAAGCAAGAGGAGTTACAGTGTCTAGCTGCTGCTTCACCTCATCTCGCGTCTGTACTGCTTGCTCCTGAGGGAGACCCGGATGCACTAGACATCCCGACTCCGCGCTCTTACGCGGAGGCCGTAGAGGGTCCCTACTCCTCTCAGTGGCAGGCAGCCATGGATGCAGAGATGGCTTCCTGGAAGTCCACAGGCACCTACGTTGACGCGGTTCCCCCTCCTGGGGCGAACATCGTCAGTGGCATGTGGATCTTCAGGGTGAAGCGGCCGCCGGGCTCTCCACCTGTCTTCAAGGCGCGGTACGTCGCTCGTGGCTTCAGTCAGCGGCAGGGAGTTGACTACTTTCAGAACTTCTCTCCCACCCCGAAGATGACCACTCTTCGGGTGCTGCTGCACATAGCCGCTCAGCGCGACTACGAGCTTCACTCTCTCGACTTCAGCACTGCGTTCTTGCAGGGTAGCCTGCACGAGGAGATCTGGCTGCGCCGTCCACCTGGCTTCACTGGGACTTTCCCTTCTGGCACCCAGTGGAGCCTCCAACGGCCAGTCTACGGTCTCTGCCAGGCACCGCGTGAGTGGCACGACACACTGAGGACTACGCTTGCGGCTCTTGGGTTTGCTCTTTCTACTGCTGACCCATCGCTGTTTCTGCGCACCGACACTAAACTGCCGCCGTTCTACATCCTCGTGTACGTCGACGACTTGGTCTTTGCCACAGCGGACACTGCTGGACTCGCCTACGTGAAGTCCGAGCTGCTGAAGAGACACACGTGCACAGACCTGGGTGAACTGCGCAGCTACCTTGGCTTGCAGATCACTCGGGACAGAGCACGCCGCACCATTACCTTGACTCAGTCACACATGGTGCAGCAGGTCCTTCAGCGCTTCGGCTTCACGTACTCCTCGCCTCAGGCCACTCCTCTGTCTACCCGCCACTCACTCTCAGCTCTGCCTTCGGATGAGTCCGTAGAGTCGAGTGGCCCGTACCCAGAGCTTGTTGGCTGCCTCATGTACCTGATGACCTGCACACGACCTGACCTTGCATACCCTCTGAGCATTCTTGCACGCTATGTTGCTCCTGGGAGACACCGACCAGAGCACATGGCTGCAGCGAAGAGGGTATTGCGCTACCTGTGCAGTACGTCGGGCATGGGGCTAGTGCTTGGAGGGCGGAGTCCAGTGGTCCTTACAGGTCACGCGGACGCTTCTTGGGCTGACGACCAGGCTACGCAGCGGCCGTCACAGGGTTACACCTTCAGCCTTGGTTCCGGCTCTGTCTCGTGGCGGGCTACTCGTTCGTCTTCGGTTCTCAGCTCCAGCTGTGAGGCTGAGATCTACGCAGGGGCCATGGCTGCACAGGAGCTTCGCTGGCTCACCTACCTGCTGACTGACCTTGGAGAGCCGCCTCGTTCTCCTCCAGTGCTGTACGTAGACAACAAGGCCATGCTGGCCTTGTGTCGAGAGCAGCGTCTGGAGCACAGAACGAAGCACATTGCTCTTCGCTACTTCCTTGCTCGTGAGCTACAGCAGCGTGGACAGTTGCGGCTTGCGTACGTGGCCTCTGAGGCCAACACTGCTGATGTGTTCACCAAGGCACTCGCGCCTTGTGACCATCAGCGCTTCTGCACCCAGCTGGGTCTTGTGCCTGTCTTGCCTTACTTGCTCTCCTCTTGACTTTACTTGTACTGTCACATATATATAACTGCTCTTGCTTGTCTAGCTTTATATATATGTCTATACTCTTGCATGTGAATTGGCCTTTGGCCTTGCTCTTGTGCTCGGACTGTGTGGTGACTTTGTGATCCACCCTGAGCTTTGCTTTGCTTTGCTTGACTGGTCTTGTGACCCCTTGTTCTCCCCCACTTTGCCTATGGGGGTGTGTCAGAACATATATATAGCTTATACTATTGTGTAGGCTGTAGTGGGGTATCCCATAGGGGGTACAACCAGTTAGGGTTTCCTATTTGTACTCACTTCATTCATAGTTCATTCATTCTCGTTCTATTCTCAACACCCACTATAGCCTACACAACAGCATAAGCTATATAACGTTCTGACATCGACAGACAGAGCAAAGCGGTCGAGAATTTTATTTCAATCGACCAAGCATATCTATCGCCGCCAGCACCCTGTTTCACTTCTCTTTGTAGCATCGAGACTCACAATCACATAACTAATCAAGAATGCTCGAGTTTTACAATACGTTAATACATATCGTGAACGTGGACAATCGACACAAGCAATGTTATTGTTGCAGTAGAGTTTGGCAGCTGCATTTAATTACCCCGTCGAACAGACCATATTTGTCTATGTAATAAATACAGAAAAAACATCATATTCAACAAACTATAGCTTTCCAAATTATGTGATTTTTACACTACCTGAAAAGATTGGTAGTTCACCTATGGCAGTGATTGGTTTTCAAACTCTCTTCGACAACACTTTGTTTTATGTCGACGATGGGACGGTCGACAACAAAAATGCTGTCGCAGGCTCTGCTCGACGGGATCCAGTCGACGACGCCGACGTGCATTGCTAATGCACATTAGTGGTCGACAAAACCCTTCGATGGGCACTGATCGGCGTGCTGTGCTCGACGAGCTGGTCTCGGCGAATGCTGTTCGACCAAGCAGCGCCGAGCTGGTCGGTGAAAGTAACGCCTGAACCCTCGTCTTCGTAGTCGGTTGAGTCGGTCCCTGCAGCGTGCTAGAAAGGCTGGCCCCGGTGGTACAAGAATGCATTCTCATTAAGTTCATATTCACTTGCTCTACGGCGCACGAGTAGCGAGCGAAACCGTCGACAGGTGTTCTACCTGGCACCTGCGCATGAATAAGATTAAAATTGATGATTACGTATTAATGAGAATTGTAGGGAATGTCCCCTTTTTTGTGCCTCCTATTCCTTATCAAGTTTGCCCATTGCAGTTTATGTATTTATTTGTTTAGTTATACGCTTTTATTTCAGTGTCAGCTGTGCTCTGTATCGAACTAGTCTGTGGCGCGTTCTGCCGCGCTTTTCTCTGCACCACTTTCCGTCGGGTCGAGACGGAATCCGTCGACGGAGGCGGATTTACTCGACGAACAGAGGGGTTGGTGCAGACCGGGGGGAGCACGTGGGGTCAACGCCAGCTCGAGCGAGGACCACCTCGCGTCACTCCGAGCTGGCGTGGCTCGTTTCGGGCGGGCGGGTGGGCTGGCTCCCGCCCCTCGCGTGCCCCGCCACGCGACAGAGGGAAAACGAAAATCCCTCCGAGGGAAACCCGCAGGGGCGAAGGGGAGTCCTCGGAGGGATTCGGGCGAGGTCTTCCCTAGGGCAAACAGGCCAGGCTGGGCAACGACCTGGAATTCTGCAGCACCGCCACAAGAACCGGCTGCCGGCTCCTTGGGGTTTCCAACTTTGGCCCGGGCAGCCCGTGCTTACTGCTACGCGACAGGTGGGGCACAGCGGCCGTTCAAACAAACGTTCGCTGAAGTACCTGTGGTCGATCTTTCGAAAGAAATGTTTCCGTACGGCGACGGATTCCAACCGTTTGCACACGTGTCTTTTGAGGTGTGGCGTGCTATACTGTACAAACAACACAACGGATGGATGATGTGCATGCAAGCCCAAGCCAGGTTCCATATACATGCATCAGCCAGCCAGGTTGCACCCATACCGACCGAACATACGAGAATCTCAGGACGTGTCTCATGTGAAGGGTCTGCTGGATCTGGTCCGCGAACAGAATCGATACGCCTGGTCCGGGGTTCTGGTCCGACGGACCCACTTGGCGGACCAGCGTTGGACCAGACACGGACTGGTCTGTCTAATGCCTCGCGCTTCGGGCTGCACAGTATTTGCAAGATGCAGCAGTAGCAACGAATTTGAAATATAGTTACCCATTTTCTTCGTCTGCACAAAAAGTTTACGCGAAACTTACAAAACAAGAAATTTCGCAAAAATAGATGTTTCACCACCTACTGTTTACGGACCAGGCGCGGGCTGGTCTGGAGGGCCAAATAAATGGCACCGTATTAGTGCCATTCGAACGGTATAACGGGGTTACAAGCCCCGCATCCTGGTCCCGGTCCGCCCTGGTTCACCCGCTGGTTCTTGAGCTGGTCCGTCAGGTCCGAACCGGACCCACGTGGACTCAGACATCTGAGACACCCTCTCATGCCCCAGCCACAAAGAGGTGCAGGTCCTACCCTATCCCATCCCATAGGTTTCCACCGCCTTCTTTCCCTAGCAAAGTTCAGCACTCTCATGCAGGGCAAGGGTGTGAGCTGTTCATCTGGTTGCTGGCTTGTGCAAAAGCGTTGATCAAATCAACCTGGAAGACCCTAGTACAGCACAGTACCAGCAAACTGTGCTATGCTGGACCCTTATGAACTTGTGGGCAAACAGATCAGACTCCCGGTCCACCAACGTCCCACAACCACGACGCGCTCTCAACCTGCCCGGTTTTCATCCCTCGTAGTATGATAGTTGGAGTAGGGCAGTCGTAAAAGCGAGCTTAAGCAGTCAAGAGCGGACCGGACTCGCAGGTGGCGTTGCGGAGCGCTCCAGCCTCGCCGCCTGCCGCCCCACCGGCGGAGACTCGGAGCCTCCAGGGGACCATGGCGCGGCCGCGCGAGTGGCAGGAACAGCGCGCCGCGCTGACACTCGCGTGGTGCATCGCCGTTCTTGCCACGACTCCCCTCGCCGTTGTTCACTCCCAGCTGATCGAGGCCTCGCAAGGTGAGCGGCCCTCAGTTCGCAGCCATCATGGTGCTGCGGTGGCAGTCGTCGTACACAAATCATGTCACGAAGGGCACCGTTTTTGGTCTAACAACCCCACTCCAAAACACACAGCACCACCGGAAACTCTTCCTCCATCAAATTTCCCTCCCCACCTCTCACTCCCACCGCCACTCCCCAAAATCATTCTCCCATTATTACCTCTCCGCATCCTCTCTCCACCAACTGGCAGTGGTATTCCTGCAGGATTGCCAGAGCATATGGGGTCAGACGTTGCCTGGGTGGAATGGTACCAGACTCAACTGCAAGGCTGCAACGGGCATCGACTGCGATAGGAACGGGATGATCACCCAGATGTGAGATTCGATCTACGATGACTGCCTGCCACAGTGTGAGACCTGTGCTGGGAATGGCTCTTCAGAGCCACGGTGCCAATGCAGTGACAGTCTAGTGCCCTCGGGTCACCACGTGGGTCCGGACTTGTCTAGCGCCACCTGCAGTGCAGAGCCACTCTTTCACTGCAAGCCCCTGTTGGCTGATGGAAAGAACGTGTGGCGCCATGTTTTGGGTGCAATTTATTTGCAGAAAATTCCAAGGCGGCCTTAGAAGAGGAGGGCGCCTTCCGAGCTCCATCTCCAACCTCCGCGAACTTACTGTCCTGTACGTCGAACGTCCCCGTGCCTTCTTGCAATGGTCAAATTGCATCCTGCGCGCAGGGTGGAGAGAAGGTACGAGTGGTGGCAATGGCGATGAGACAGAAGTGATAGTGTGGAGAGAACGCTTGAGGAGTAGATAGAGAAGAATTAAGGTCTAATGTTGGAGACAAGGTTCGAGGACTTGAAATGTGTGGAGAGAAGGTTTGAGGAGTGGAAATGGTGGAGAAGGAAGGACGTGGGAAGGGGAAAGGGGTGGAGGATGGAAGGTGAGCTGGGCGAGGGCAAGAGAGTGGTGAGTAAACTGTAGGAGGGAGAGGCGTCAGCTGTGGGAGGTGTGCAGTGCAGCATGTGAGGCCGAGTGGGGATGGGGAGTTGCGAGATGGGCAGCAGGTAGCATGGGAGCGTGATGAACTACGAAGATTCGAGCATGAGATGTGCGAGATAGGTGACAGATCTCTCCATTAGAGTTAGCGCTGCCATCACTGTAAGGTATTGTTAAGCAGTTACGTTGCGATATTTGAAAATAAGCTCGTGTCTCACGTACGTACTCCCTCAGCTGTCCTTTGCTTGTCCCTATTCCTTCCTGTCATCTTCTACTATACTCCTTACTTTCCTCCTACCTTCGTCTCTCTCTCGTCCCACCTTGTCTCCGCCTCTCCCCATACTCACATTGTTCCTTTCCACTCTCATAGCACGAGCGGGCGAATAAAACCCTGTGCCTTACTTCTGCCAACGTTGCCTCTCTGCGTCTGGTGTTCATTTCTCGATAATGACTGCCAATTTAGTTTCCCCGCCTGCCCCATGCCATGCGAACCCAAACCCTCTGCCTTATTATCCGCCACCCTAAACCATGTTATTCACTTTATCAGATCTATTCGTTCCGCTAAGCTCAGTGGCACGATTCCTTCCGAAGTCTACAGACTCACAAAACTGAGGCTCCTGTAAGGCCCCACGTTAGCGCTTATCTTTTCCCCTTGCCACATGCTTTCCCCCCGTTGTTCCTTTGTGCTAGTCTTTTCCAGGCCACTCCACTCAAATTCACCCCCATTTGTCTACTCTCATCTCCATTGCAACCATCTTGTCGTTTTCATAAGACTGGTGTGTGTACTTCGTGCTGATTGTGTGGAATGGACAGGAGTTATCCGTCAGATTTGACAAGTTTTAAGTTTCATTATGAGGGATCTAGTTCTCACAAATCATTCGCAAGACATATTAGGGGCCACTGGTCACCTCACCCTCCTGTTATGTTTTGTAACAATAGAAACATGCGATCTGGGTATGGACGTAGCAGGGTCGCACAAGGGGCGTGTACCAGGGCAGACCCCACAATTGACAGCAGAAGAGTAAAAAATGGCTGTCACAGTCTACATATGCACGTAGGTGTGCTGCATGTGCATGCCATCCTTGAGGTCGCATTGTCGCATGCATAGGCTCCTATATGCTGCTCGTTTCCATGCAACCCCTCGACCTCAGTGTGTATACCATATGCCCGTATGTGTTCACCTGTCACAGGGACCTTGCAGTGAATCGCTTCAGCGGCTCAATCCCAACTGCGGTCGGCAATCTTACCAACCTGTGTTACTTGTAAGGCCTCGTGCAAGGCCACTCCTTGGTTGGTTGTACTCTCCCTTGTTCGCCTCTCCTCTCCTCCCCTTCACGTCCTCTTGATGCTAGTCCGCACCAATGCTCTCAATAGACCCTTCCTTTGTTTCATCCTCTTGCATCAGGTCCACTTACCACCACCACCCTCTTCTTTTCTGTATGTACGATGTGTGCTTTGTATATATAGTGCACATGCAATGATGAGATACTACCAGCCAGGAAGTGGCAAGCGAGTAAAACTTGCGTTCACGTGGTTGCCTAAATTCGCCGTGTTCCCTACCTGTCTCGTGACAGGGGTCACCTCGAACATAGGCCGAACGAGGGTCGGCCTGACCTGAATTTCGTCAGGCGACCAGTATGGAGGGTTGGGTTCGGGCTGGTTTCATGTGGTGTCGTCCCATCTAGACTGGGCCAGAGCAGCTCATGTCTGGCCGGCCCACATCCGACCCGCTTAGGCTGTTAACTATGTCATTTCACCAACCGTTGCATGCCGGGCAGGCAGACATATTACCCCCCCTCATGAGACGACGCCCCCACCCCCACCTTGCCACGAGCTGGCCACTGACCGTACCTGGTACACCTATCCACTGGTCGTTTCATGCAAGCTTCAGTCGAGCTTCCTATGTCTATCGCACGCCCTTTCACGTCTGTGGTTGCAGATCTTTCTTGCGCAATCAGCTAACTGGTTCGATCCCCGATGCCATCAACGATCTTTCCTACCTGCGATACCTGTACAGCCTCCTGCAAGCCCGTTACTTTGTTGTGCCCTTCTTTGTGCGCTTCCCCTTGATGCTAGTACGCACTCCATCGACTCCATTGGTCAATTTTCCACTTCATTCTCTTGTAAGGTCCATTTACCACCAGTGCATACTCTCGTTGCTCATCCTCCTCCGTTTGTGTTGATTTTTTCGTTGCAGGGCTCTCGATAACAATCAGCTCAATGGTTCGATTCCAGCTGTAATGAGCAATCTTGAGGGGCTCACAACATTGTAAGGCCTCGTGCAACGCCGTTTCTTGGTTGTATGTGGCTCTCCTTCATGTGTCTCTCCCCCATCATTTCTCCTCCTCTTAATGCTAGTCTGCTCTGCACCCATGCCCCCCTCCTTCTGAGCTTCTCGTGTCATACCAACTTATCACCACCCTCTCTGTCACTGTTTTCTGTAACCTGTGACCTGGGTGGTCATAGTGCACTTGCTCACGCTTACATATTGCAAACCAAGTCTGGTGGCATGACTCTCGCTTGTAGCCATGAGCAGTGGCGGCCCCATGGTCTGCTCATGACCAGCAGAGGGAGGAGGAGGCCATCTTATTAAGATACCCTTCCACTGGCTGGCTCGTCACCAGCTGGAAAACGCCCCTCTGCGGGCGTAATGGGGAGGCTCAAGGCCTGTAACGGCCTTAATGAAACCCCCCTAATTGACCTGCGTGATCCAAGTTGTGCTGGACTTTGAGGAGCCCTGTGATGTGCACGAGTTCATGAGTCTACAGTGGACTATGGCCAGCGTGGTTGGATTGTGTACGATATGCACACGAGCTGCTGAATTGACTGTCACCCAGCCCATGTGGTCAGCATGTGATTGGCATGTGGTTGGCTTGTGGTTGGCTTGTGGTCGACTTGTGGTCGGCTTGGGTTGGATTGTGGTCGGCTTGGGTTGGATTGTGGTCGGCTTGTGGCTGGCTTGTCATGAGCCAAAAGTAAGAAACAAAAGAAGCCAGGCTCAACCTGACAGACGAGTCAGCTACTATGGCCGGCCACAGGCCTGGCAATACGCTCGTGTCTACTGTCTTGCCAAACCCTGAATGGACGGTTGATAACAACCGGTGATTCTATTCTGCTGGGACTTGTTTTTGGACATAATCATTCTGAATATATGGCCACTACAGTCGAGTGCTACATATGCAGATTCTTTCAAAATTTGCATGCATAAGGATATGTTCCCTCTATGCTGCCCTCCTCCATGAACAAATGAGCTCCCCCCATCTATATCTACCTACCACGTGGCCGTTTGTATATGTCAATGCAGATCTCTCTGGCGCAACCAACTGACTGGCTCAATTCCAGATGCTATCTACGACCTTTCAGTACTGCAAACCCTGTCTGTACAGCCCTTTGCAAGGCCTTTTCTTTATAGTGCTCTTCCTTCTGCGCCTCTCCTTTCAAACGCTTCTCCTCCCCTTGATGCCTGTGCTGTCTATGCCCATGTTCCCATTCCCATGCTTCCACTTCAGTTTCATCCTTTTGTATTTACCCCTACCACCATGCACATGCACATGTCTGTTCACTTTTGCAGACTTCTTGATAGAAATCAACTCACTGCCTCAATTCCTGCTGCAATCAGCAACCTTAGAAGTCTCACAAAGCTGTAAATTCCTCCTGCAAGGCTGTGAGACCTCTTTTTTAGGTCCGCGTTATTTGAAAGTTGGAGCGTATCTTTTTAGTATATCTAGTATTGCTGGAGGAGCTCATATTGCTGGTCGAGTGGATATAGGATGAAGTATGTTGAAGTGGGTTTTTTGTTGGGATCCAATACAGGGGCGTGGCAGTTGATTTATCGCTTGGTCCTACGCTAGACACCCCGGACCACCGTTAAGTCGGGCCGGGCCGGCCTTCAGCCCAACCTGTGCTCATGCCTACCTTGAACTGGCCGATCTGGTACAAGAAATTGTACAACCTGGCCGACAGAAAGGAGTTGTGGATTTGTGGTCATTTGCGAGCTCCAGCTTAGTTTCATCCTTATATGGCCCGAATTGCCATCTTTGGAAACTGGGCCAGATAAAAACTAGTGTAGTCCAGGCCAGATTGGTCAGTGAAGCTGCTGAACTGGTTCGGCCCGAGCTGCTGCAAGTTCCAAAGCTGGTTAAGCTTAAACCAGATTTGTCAGTTTGACTGCCCCTCTGGTTTGAGACATTCAACCCGACCTGGTGCAGGCTCGACTTGACCTTATTTCTAGCTGTTTCATCTACAGCAAAGCGAGTCTGACATGCCCCTCTCCTGGTGAACCCGTTTTGCTGGTTGAGAACGGCGAGTGGTACTATTTTGTTCATGTAGGCTTGCTCACTTGCAGCAGCTTCCGCATTACCCGGCAGCCAAGTCGGGTCGACGCGCTCTTCACCAGACTGCTGACCAGCAGCTTGCTGCTGCGACTGTGCCTGCTGCCATAATCGCTCCCCCGCTGCCCGCCTCCGTGCAATGCCCTCTTCGTGGGCTGCAGCTTCTGCATCTGGGGAGAGCTGCCCCAACTAGAAACCCTCTCCGAAGGATGGGATTCCGAAGCCATCGAGGGAGGCTCCAGGGATTGTCCTGCTGCTGGCCGGATCACTGTCCGTTTCTGGCATGTTACTTGTCCTGAAAACGCGCCCCCACTTAAGCGTCCGCACCTGTGCTCGCGGTCGCCCCTACACTATGCACGCGGCGCCCCTCAATCAGTACGAAATGGCACTAGGTTATGTGCTCGGCGGACATATGGACGGTGGCTATTCTAAGTCATGGCGTGCAGCCTCTAAGGTGAAGTTCGAGCTAGTAAAAAGCGAAATCGTGACGTACAATATCCCACCCGTGCGATCTCCTTAGCTGCAGAATAATGCCTTCGTAGTAGCTAGAAATGTCAGATAACACATGCTTTCGTAGGCTGCAAACTAATAATAACTTAGCTTAAATGACATTAGTGGCTGAACTTAGGCTACTTGGCGCGTGGGTAAGTTTTGATGTCGAGGGTGAAAATTCCCCTTGACATCGAATTTGTTTAGGGTTTCGTACCCAGCAGGGGTACCCAGCAGCGTCGAAATTGGGTTCGGCCAAAAGCCCGACCCGACTTCCCCTACAGTGACCCGAAGTCGGGTCGGGACAAGCCTGGGTCAGGTTTTAGCTTGGACCGGGTCGGGCCAAACTGCGCGGGGCACATTCATGAAATCCCTGACCCAACCCACGCTAAAACACGGGTCGGGTCAGGCCGGCCCGACCCGAGCGGGCCACATGCTCATGCCTAGTTGACATCGTAGGTCGCCCACAGTTGAATGCTACATACATGTGAAGATGGTTTTGGATGTTTGATGCGCAAGCTCCTATTATGCTGCTCTTTTTCACACAGCATAAAGCCCGTTTATGTTTATCATTGCAGATCCCTCTCGCGCAATCAGCTGACAGGCTCAATCCCTAATGAACTCTACGAGCTGACGAGCCTACGAAAGCTGTATGTCTTCCTGCAAAGCTCTATTTCATGCTCTCCCTTGTGCATATCTTCTCTCCACGTAAACGGGCATGTGATGCTAGCCCACACCCATGTTCTCCATCGATCTCTCATCCATTCCAAAGTACTGACCTGGTCCCAGCCGTTTTGGGTTGGGCTTAGACCACCTGACCAGCTGGATTCAGGTCTGGTTGAACTGTGAGCTATTTAGACTGGTTCGGTCCGAACCAAACCAGCCGGTTTGAGTATGCCTGCCAGTTCGACCTGGTTAGTTCGACCTGACTGGTGGAAGTTTGGGTTTCTTATTCCTACAGTGTGCCTCCGTGCTCTTCGTAATATGGTTGGCATAGCAATGTGGTTGGCCTTTCTCTGCTGTTTTATTATCGTCCATGAAACTTTGTGTCTCCCTTAATGTACAGCATATGTGCTTCTTGCTTATAATTCTCTTCACAGATATCTCACCTTGAATAAGCTCACTGGCACAATCTCTTCTGCGATTAGCAACCTTGCAGAACTGGTGGAGCTGTAAGTCCCCTCTGGCCCTTTGCCTTTTCCTTCCTCTCCACTCTTTCTCATTCTAATTATCCCCACCACACCCCATTCCAACCCCATCCAATATAATGCTCCCGTATTTAAAGAACCTGCGCCCACCTCCTTTATCACACTGACCTGTTGGTAGGGTGCACGGGAGCGGTTTGGATAGGATTGTTGTTAGGTACTTATTTTCCTTTAATTATGCTGAAGGTTAGTTCACTAGTTTGTTTTATGGTTTGTATGTATTTGCTTACATTATAATAGTGTAGACAATAGGGGTTGGGTTATATTAGTTATAGGGTGCCCCCTGAGTGACTTTATCAAGTGCTAGGCACCCCAAATTCGGCTTTGGGGCACCCCAGCACGTTTCCCATCCTTGGGGACGCGGCTCCAGCCTGGACCCACGAATTTCAACATTGGAAACGCGGCTCCAGCTTGGAATTCGCGTTTCCAATTCGTGGAATCGCGGTTCCACTAGAGGGGGCGCTTCCAGGCCCACTTTGAGGGTCCCTCACGTCCCCATCTTGACTGTGGGCGACTTGAGCACCCATTTGGCCACCCCAAGTCCCTTGGGTACCAAATTCCTCACCTGGACCAGCCCAAGTCGTCTCCAAGCTAGCTCTCTTCACTTTCTGCCTATTTTAGCTTTTGTTTTGCTTGTATTCATTACTTCAGTTAACTTTCTGTTTGTAGACCCTTTTCAAGATCTCAGAACCAGCTTCTCCTTGTGCACATTGTGCACATAGGTCTGATTTTCTACATGTTATCAGAGCTATAGCTGAGCCTAGGGATGAGCAAGTGGCGAACACGAACGTGTTCGTGTTCGCCCCTACACGAACACCTTCGTTTGCCGAACCGAACACTGTTCGGTTCGGCGAACACTGTTCGGTTCGGCGAACACTTTGAGCAAAAAATGGTGTTCGCCGTTCGCCTGTGAAGGCGTGTTCGGGCGAACCTCGAACACTGTTCGTGTTCGTCGCGGGCAAATTGCAGCAGCGGCCCGAACACGAACGTGTTCGGGCGAACATCGAACACTGTTCGGCGAACTTTTTAAGCCAAAAAAAAATACCTGTTTGGTTCGCCTCGAACGTGTTCGAGGCGAACCGAACAGGTGTTCGTTTTTTTGCTCAACCCTAGCTGAGCCTCCGTTGGTCAGCCTCTACTGCACTACAATAGACCTTTTAGAAACATTGCTGGTTTTCCTCCATATTTATGGACCATTGGCTGTACTTCGCTTCTAACGCTTAGCCATCAAATAGCCGTTTTTTTTTTTTCATCTTAACTATGACTATAGTGGACAGACATTTGGGGAGGCTCACTTTGCCCTCCCTCCTCCCCGATGGCTCCAACTTCAATCATTGGAAGCGGATGGTGGTCCTCACCTTCCAAATTGTGGGCATCGTCGACGCTCTTGGTGATTCCGCGCTCACATCCTCATCCGCCTCTTCCTCTACCAATGCTCCGGCCTCCACGGCAGATGCTGCGCCGGCAGCTCCATCCAACGCCCGCCCGGCTGCTACTACCCCTGCCCTTGCAGCAGCAGAATAAGAACAGCGCGCCTTGCTGTACCTTCTCTCCACGCTTCCCACGCAGCTCTCGATGTCTATTTCTCCAACCGAGACCGCTGCCGGTTTGTGGGCTCTTCTTATCAAGAAATTTGCCAAAACCGGCAATCAAGCTCAATTCGGCCTGCTGCGTCAGCTCTTCTCTGTCCGCATGGACCCTGGCCAGCCTGTCCGTGCCTACTTTGACCACGTTTGCGGTCTTGACCTGCAACTCCAGACCAGCGGCTACAGTCTACCTTCTTGGGTGACCATCACGTCTATCCTTTTGGGTCTTCCTCGGTCGTACGACACGCTTACTGAAACGCTTTGCTCGGTCAAAGAAATAAAGGATATGACCCTTGAGTGGCTCGAGGGACGTCTCGTGGATGCTAAGTGGGACCGTGCAACAAAGAATTCGTCGCTCCCTGCTGATGGTGCTTATGTCGTTCAACCTGGACCCTCCAAGCCTCATTCCAGCACCTCTACCACTTCCTGTCGCTATTGCATGGCTGCTGGTCACGCGATCACCACTTGCCCTCAACTCGAAAAGAAGAAGCGCCGGCAGCAGCTACAGCAACAGCACCAATCGCCATACCTGCCGCAGTCTACATACCAGCCACAGTCGCAACCGTACCAGCCCCAACAGCCACAGCAGATGCCGTTCCGTTCCCTCGCTCAAAGCTCGCCCAACAAGGCAGCTGCACACACCGCCCTCCCACCTCTGGCATATCCTGCCCACCTGGCCCAGCCTCTCCTTCCCTCTCCTACCTCTGACGTTACCTCACCAGCACTCGCGGCTTCTCATTTGTCATCCACGCCACTGTCATCTTCGATTGATTATCGCTATGCCGATGTCGCCGCCGCGCACTTACTCCCTACCTCTTGGCTGCCGTCCCTCCCATCGCTACTACTCCTCATCTCCTTTCTCCTCTGCCTTTTCTCCATCTTGCTCCAGCGGTCTCTCGCCTCCGTCCTCACCAGCTCTCCTTCTTCCTCCTCCTGGCTCCTTGACTCGAGCGCATCCTCGCATCTCTGCAATGATCCTCATCTATTTTCCTCCCTCCGTTAACCATTTCTTAGTAGTGGCGTCCGGTTTGGCGGTGGGGAGCAGTACCCTGCCCACGGCATTGGGGACATTCTTGTCTACGCCCGTCACAACAACCATACCCATCCTATCACCCTGAAGGATGTCCTATACATTCCCCAGACTGTTCATAATATCATCTCTGTTCGTAAGCTGAAAGACGAAGGACTCACTACCCACTTCCCTCTTCATGCTCCTGCCCAAGTGTTCCGAGGCTCCACGGTTCTTGCTGTCGCCCATGAGCACATGAAGCTGTTCTTCGTTTCTCTCAGCCCTGCCTCAGCTTCGCAGCCGGCCACGGTCTCAACTGCATCAGCACCTCCTCCTCTTGTTCCCGCATCCTGCTCTGCAGCTTCATCTCTTCTTGGCATCGGCGATTCGGATATCTCAACGGACACAGCTTGCAGCAGCTTCATTCCAAACAGATGGTCAGCGGCATCAGCCTCAACGGTTCCCTACCTTCCACCTGCATTTCGTGCCTTCGTGGGAAGCAAACCCGCCAGCCATTTCCAGACTCTACCTCGTCCAGCTCAGCCCCACTTGACCTGGTTCACACTGATGTCGCTGGACCATTTCCCATCGGCACTACGTTTGGCGGCGCCACCTATCTCCTCACATTCATTGACGATTACAGCCGCTATACCAGTGTCTACTTTCTCAAATCCCGCTTTGAAGTCTTTAGCACATTTCAGCGCTATCTCGCCCAAGCCGAAAGCCACTGCAAGACACATCTCAAGGTCTTGCACTCCGTTGGCGCCCCGGAATATCTTTCCGACGCTTTTCAAGCTTTCCTCGCTTCGCGTGGCATCACCCGACAGGTCTCTACACCATACACTCCGCAACAAAATGGTGTCGCTGAGCGGATGAATCGCACCATCCTTGACATGATGCGGTGCATGTTACATGACAGCGGTCTTCCTCGTGGGTGGTGGGGAGAAGCAGCCCTTACTGCTGCATATATTCGCAATCACTCTCCTTCTCGCTCACTCCCTCGCGATGTCACGCCTATGGAATTATGGACAGGTCAGCGGCCGGACGTCACCCATTTTCGCGTGTTTGGATGCCCTGTCTCCGTGCTTCTACCTACTCTTTATCGAGAATCCAAGCTACATGACCGCAGTCAACCTGGCATCTTCCTCGGCTATGGTCTCCTTGATGGTTGTCGCGCTTATATCCCCTCCATCCGCTGGGTTGTCTACTCTCGGGATGTCACATTCCTTGAAACCTCCCCCTCAACTCCTCCTCACCCACCACCACCTCTACCATCACCCCCTACTCCCGCACCTGTCACTTTGTCACTTCACCCGCCTTCCCAACCTACCTCCTCACCAGACCCTATCAATCCTCCTCCGCTACCTGCTACACATGCAGAAACCTCTCCCTCTGCTACTCCGTCTGCACCTCTCTTTCCCACACTCCCCACCCCTCCCTTCCAGCCTTTCACCCTTCCCACTTCCCTTCAGAAGCCTGCCTCCACACCCACTTCCTCACCTCTTCTATTTCCTCCTCTTCCAACCCCGACTGCCCAAGACTTTCAGCTCAACTTCTCTGACCCCTCCGTTAACACCATCCTTGACGAAGATCGCGAGTCAGCCCATTTTTTTCACGACTTTGCCTACATTGCTCTTCATTCCCACTATGAGCCACCTACAATTACTGCTGCCCGCTCTTGCCCCGCTGCTCCCCAATGGCTTGCTGCTGCTGACGCTGAAATTACTGCACTCCTAGCCAACCGCACTTACAGCATTGTGCCCAAACCGCCCGACTGCACTCCTATCCCTTGCAAATGGGTTTTCAAGGTCAAAGAGAACCCGGATGGGTCCATCGAGCGCTATAAAGCCCGTTTGGTCATTAAAGGCTTCAAGCAACGTGAGGGCATTGACTATACTGAGACATTTGCACCCACCATTCGCTTTGCTACGCTTCGCTTGCTCCTCACCCTTGCTGCTGCCCTTGATCTTGAGATGCATTAACTCGACATCTCCAATGTCTTTCTCAATGGCGACCTTGACGAGATTATTTACATGACCCAACCACCCACTCGGTTTTGAACTCCCTCCTGCCAACGGCTCTCCTCAAGTTTGCATCCTGCACAAGCCCTTGTACGGCCTCAAGCAGGCTCCTCGGTGTTGGTACAAAAAACTGAAATCGGAGCTTCTCACATTTGGCCTTCACACCTCCGATGCCGACCCTGGACTTTTCATTGCTGCACCCTCCTCACCTCTTCTTCCACATCCTTCCCACTTCTTCCTTGTCCTAGTCTATGTTGACGATCTCATCATCCTTTCCACCACCATCACTCCCCTTACCACCTTCAAGACTTCTCTGTCCACTCGCTTCAAATTTCGTGACCTTGGCCCATTAACTTATTACCTCGGCCTCCATTTAGACCGCGACCGCTCTTCTCGGATCCTCCTCATCCACCAGTCCAAATTTATTACTGCACTCCTCTCTACCTTCAATCTCAGCCACGCCAACCCCAGCCACACCCCCATGGACTCTAAGCTCCTCCTTCCAACACGCTCCTTATCGCCACCCTCTGAACCCTTCCCATATCCCTCTTTGGTCGGCTCTCTCATGTACGCAATGGTTGCCACTCGCCCTGACATAGCCCATTCTACTGGACTCCTTTCACGTCACCTGCATTCTTGGTCGGATCCTCATTGGCTGGCTGTTAGACGTGTTCTCCGTTACCTCAATGGGACTTCTTCCCATGGGCTGCTTCTTGGTGGCAATCCCGCCTCCCTCCAGCTGGTCGGGTATTGTGATGCCTCATGGGCTTCCGAAAGTGAGGATCGTCGTTCCCTCACTGCATACCTGTTTTTTCTGGGACCTTCTCTGATTTCTTGGCAATCCAAGCGGCAATGTGTAGTTGCGACATCCTCTTGTGAAGCTGAATACTACGCGCTCGGTGCGGCAACCCACGAAGCCCTTTGGCTCCGTACTCTCCTCTGCTCTCTCGGCCTTCCCCCCACTGGTCCCACCCCGCTGCTCTGTGACAACACTAGCGCCATTGTCTTGGCAAAGGACGCTGGTGTTTTCCATGCCCGTGCCAAACACATCGACATCCGCCACCATTTCCTCCGTGATCATGTTGACAAAGGGCATATCTCGCTGCACTACATCCCTAGCCGTGATAACCTTGCTGATTTGGGAACCAAGCCTCTCCCTCGTCACACACTTCAGCGTCTACAGTCCTGCATCGGCCTTCGCCCTGCTACTTCTTTGATCTCTCCCTCGGTGTCACCCTAAGGGGGGGTGTTGTTAGGTACTTATTTTCCTTTAATTATGCTGAAGGTTAGTTCACTAGTTTGTTTTATGGTTTGTATGTATTTGCTTACATTATAATAGTGTAGACAATAGGGGTTGGGTTATATTAGTTATAGGGTGCCCCCTGAGTGACTGTATCAAGTGCTAGGCACCCCAAATTCGGCTTTGGGGCACCCCAGCACGTTTCCCATCCTTGGGGACGCGGCTCCAGCCTGGACCCACGAATTTCAACATTGGAAACGCGGCTCCAGCTTGGAATTCGCGTTTCCAATTCGTGGAATCGCGGTTCCACTAGAGGGGGCGCTTCCAGGCCCACTTTGAGGGTCCCTCACGTCCCCATCTTGACTGTGGGTGACTTGAGCACCCATTTGGCCACCCCAAGTCCCTTGGGTACCAAATTCCTCACCTGGACCAGCCCAAGTCGCCTCCAAGCTAGCTCTCTTCACTTTCTGCCTATTTTAGCTTTTGTTTTGCTTGTATTCATTACTTCAGTTAACTTTCTGTTTGTAGACCCTTTTCAAGATCTCAGAACCAGCTTCTCCTTGTGCACATTGTGCACATAGGTCTGATTTTCTACAAGGATTAACTAAAATGTTATCTTGACCCCCAAGAAAAAATGTTTGGATTGCGGGCGTTTTTGTGAGTCTCACCTTGTTACTGGGGGGCTCTGGTGGTTCCTGTTTGTGCACAGCAAACGGGCAGACCTCACAGGCAGACCTCAAAGCAGCCATCAGAAGAGAGTGAAAACGAGGAGCACAGTAGATGAAATCGATGACAATCCACCAGATCCGTGACAATCTTGTCTGGTGTTCCATAACAGCACTTGCCGTCAAGTCAGTGAGCTGGCCAGCAGCGCGTCGGTCAGCTCGTCAACTTGTTGCATGCAAGCTGGTGAGCCGACGCCGGCCCGTCTGGACTTGGGACGATTCAGCTGCACTGAACCCCCGAATTGCTTCGTCCGTTATTGTTTTGACAAGTCGAGCTGACGAGCCAAGCCGCCAGCTCAATTTTGTGCTCCTGCCTCCATTCCATCCAACACAGCATGAGGTGCTGAGGGACATGGGATGGGATGACCCTGGCCATGCCCAACTGTTCATTTTTCATTGCAATCGTTTCGTCTGCAGGGCTTCAGAAGCATTGTTCACCCTGGCCTGCTGAACGTGTTTGCATGTGGGTTAATCCCTGACATCTTCTTTTGTGGCACTGCATGGCAGCTTTTTGGATCAAAACGAGCTGGACGGCAGCCTGCCAGCAACGATTACTGCACTTGCATCCCTGGATCAGCTGTAAGGCGTGCGAGCGAACCCCGAGCCTCCCACCTTATCCATCCTTCCTTTGTATCTTATTCCTTTTCCATTCCAATAGCAACCCATGCTCGTGTAACGTGCTTTGAGTTCCCTTCGCACAGTGATTCTTCTTCAGCAAGTGGCAACCATTGCGTATGTGCACGTACATGTGCTGCTTGTACGTAGGTGTGCTGGCTGCATTTCATGTACCTGCGCTGGCTGCATTGCATGTACCTGCGCTGGCTGCATTGCATGTACCTGCGCTGGCTGCATTGCATGTACCTGCGCTGGCTGCATTGCATGTACCTGCGCTGGCTGCATTGCATGTACCTGCGCTGGCTGCATTGCATGTACTTGCGCTGGCTGCATTGCATGTACCTGCGCTGGCTGCATTGCATGTACCTGCGCTGGCTGCATTGCATGTACTTGCGCTGGCTGCATTGCATGTACCTGCGCTGGCTGCATTGCATGTACTTGCGCTGGCTGCATTGCATGTACCTGCGCTGGCTGCATTGCATGTACCTGCGCTGGCTGCATTGCATGTACCTGCGCTGGCTGCATTGCATGCACCTGCGCTGGCTGCATGTACCATTGTGCAGAACCCTTGCCGTGAACAGCCTCACAGGAACGATCCCTTTATCAATCAGCAACCTTTTCGCTCTTCGATATTTGTGAGTTGTTGTGGCAGCGGTGAGATGCCTTCTGCAGGCGCATGTTCCCATCCCACATGCCGCCTTCATGCCATCACATCACCCCTCCATCTACATCTATGCAGCTTCCATGACAGTCTTCGTTTTTTTAACAACATGGGCCCACCACAGATGTGTTGATCACGTTTCCAACATCCCACAGTGCACAGAATAAAACCTCGGTCCGGTTTGTGTCGAGTGAATCTGAAACCTGCTGAAAGAGTGACCAGTTCAAAACAAACCGGTTCTGTTTGGCATCAAGCTGTTTTGGTTCGAATTTTGTTCATGGTTTCCGCACAAATCCTTATGGTCTTCGTTTCAATGCCGCGAACATTCTTGCTTTGCAGCAAGGATGATCTTACTTATTAAACCTTCTTGCTTGAGAATGCTGCAACTTGCAAAAAAAATGTACTGCGCTTTCAACGCCGCACGAACCCTTGATTTGCAGCATTGCATTTTATCTCGAAGCTTCTCTGAAACAATTGTCTCTTTGCGTGTACAGGGAGCTGGAGAAAAATCGCTTTAGCGGAACGATACCTCATACAATTGGCAGGCTGGGAAATTTGACCTTCCTGTAAGTTGACACACCTTCCCATCCCACTAAAATCAGAACAGCCGTAACAAGGCTGCAAGAAACATGCCTGAGCACCTGAAGAGTAGTCAATCTATGGGAGGGAAGAATCAGCTGGCTGGACCCCGTTCAACCGTAAGTATGGCCACTGGGTCATGCTGGTCATCGTAGAACAACATTGCAGCTCGTAAACCCACAGTTAGTAATTCCAGGTTGCTCAGCTCTCCCACGCGTCGCATTCATGCACGCGCATGGCGAGCCACGTGGGCTCTAGTCAAAAGCAGTATTTCTGTGGCTTGGCTCGTTTCAAATGCTAGCCAAGCCGCGGCTCAGACTCTTCCTGAGTCCAGCCATGCATCCCTCTTGACACTCGCCCTTCTTCATTCATGCCCATCAGGTCACTGGCCTACAACCAGATCTATGGAAGTTTACCTGCCAGTCTCAACAATCTGACAGGACTGCAGACCCTGTACGATGCACCACTGGGGTTTGCAAAACACTGTTGTTGTACTGTCATGACGCTCTCACATCCGCACCGCACTTCCACCCTTGCTCCTACTTTCGTTTTTCTCTCACCCTTGCTATACTCTTCCACATGCTTGTCCACTCTGCACTCTCAATCACCACACCACCCTGTATCTGACTGAGGTAGAGCGATTCAGAACGGTGGCAGCTCATGGTAGCATCGTGCAGGCAGCTGCTTGTGCCAGCCAGCCATTCCATGCGCTTACAACCTGAATAATGCTGTTCTTTCTTTGTTCATATTGCCATCAAGAGATGCTTCAAGATATAGGCAGTTCAATGCAACCAACGATTCCAACTGCTTCCATCTCCCCTCCTGCTCCACTTCCCACAGCCTCCCTTTCGTCTCCCCTGCACCTCTCGTCTTCGTCCTGCTCTCTCAAACGGTCTTTCCTCCTGCACCCGCATTCCTTTCTGCTCGAAGCCAAGTTCCGCCCATCACCTCGTATCAATCACATGTATCCAGTTGTTTCTTACACCCGTGTGATATCCCCTGCCTTTGATTGCTACCCCACCTCATCGTGCACACCCTTTACTTCTCTCCCTCCCACGTGCAGTGATCTCTCTCACAACTACATCACAGGGCCCCTTGTAACTCTCCCACCTATCGAAGCAGATCTGTCCAGCAACTACCTGTCGGGGCTTGTGCCCGGACCAGACTGCCTTCGGCACAGCATCACCGCCAACTGCTTTGCGCAGAACAAAGCCTGCCGCCCTCCTCTGCAGCGGCCCCCAGCACAGTGCACGGCGTTCTGTGGCATCTCCCCGACCACTGCTGCCTGTGGCGGTCGTGGCTTGTGCTACCCAGACGGGGCCAGCTTGGTGCCAACATGCTTTTGTGGTGGGGGATTTGTTCAGCTTGGACGAAGTGACTGTGTTCCTCCAGGTAATAAGTACCCCTTTTTTTTCCATAATAGAGTTTACTATAATACCAAACCTTAGTGCGGCTTGGCCGTATCTACTTCCAACACAACGTTTTGCACAGTTTCGACCATGTATGACGACCATCAATCTCCTTGTTCCCCAGTTTCTGTGCGGTCCGAGTACCTGCCTGATTCGACTCTGTTTGAGTTCAACTGTTTCTCTCGTCCACATTAAACGGACGTCACACTCGTTGTCTTCTTCATACCAATACTGTCTGGCACCACACATCGATCCCATGTACACAAACATATACATGGGCAAATGACGAGTCGAATTTCACTCGACTCGTTTGACAAGGCTCGAGTGGTTCTTGTTTCGAGTTTTCTAACCACCAATGCTTCATCACTCCCTCCGTTCCCCATGTTCTGCTGCACCTTGCTCGCTACTCCCCAGGGCCCCCAATGAACATTCTCCCGCCATTCACGGTCCTCACCAAGGGCACGCAGCAGGAGACCTTGGGAAGGTTCTTGGCGAAGCCAGTGACCCTGTTTCTGTACCCGCCTGGTGTGACCTCGGGATGCGGCGTGGAGTTGCCCTTCAGTGTCAACTTCACCTTTGCTCTCATGCCGCAGTCTGGTACAGCAGGATCAAACGGCTTTGCACTTGTCATCGCAGCAAAGCCCAAGGCGGGGAAACCTGGTGGTGTGGGGTACAGTGGATTGGGGTCTCAGAGCATGGCCGTGGTATTCGACACGCTACAGGATAACGCGGGAGAGCAGCACGTTGGGCTGAGCATCAACGGCACAGAAGAACCCTTGGTCAAGGAGGTGTCACCATTCACTCTGACAGACGGCGACTCATACAAGGTGTGGGTGGACTATGAGCCTGGGGATCCCGGCACCATTCAGGTGTTCCTGGCGGATTCAAAGACGAAGCCAGAGGCGCCGCTGCTGCAGGGGAGGGTGTCGCTGTGTGCAGTGCTGCAGCCTGGAGTGAAGCAGCCAGCGTTCTCGTTTGGATTCGTGGCGTCCACCACTGTGAAGCCCTTCCAGCTGCAAGGCATTACCTCCTCTGCTGTGCAAACAGGCAAGCATATGTCTGTCCGGTGGAGTGATTAATGGGGATGATGGCCAAGAAAAGGTGGGGTTGGTGTGGTAGTGGTGTTCTGGTGATTCTGATGGCAGTGGTTGAACATTGAACAATACAGGTAGGGTAACTTCATGGACCTTGGCCACTGCCACAATCTACTGGGCTGGTGTGCTGTCTTTCTGGGCAATGCTGCTCTTGTTGCCGCGCATGGCTAGGGCGGACTGGTGATGGTTAGTGAGCGTGATCCTGTCATTGTGACCTGTATGAGATGTGATTGAAGAATCAACTAAAACCTAATGGCTGTCTTTCTGGCTGCTATGCGTCTCCTTCCTCTTGTGTATCTCTCTGCAGGCATTCCTAAACCCAAGGTAGTCCAGATGAAAGATCAAGGTGAGCTCCTCGTGATTTCACGGCCGTAAGTTGAAATGGCATTACGTGGCCTGGCACTACCAGACTGACTAAGTAGTCCTAAGGGTGACTTAGGCACCACAGTCTGGTTGCCTGGCATCGACAAGCTCTCAAGTCTTTCATTCTGAAAATGCGGAATTCCCAAACATGGTCTGGACCACCAGACGTTACTGGAGTGTTCCACATAAGTCCAAACTTGCAGAACCACCATCGCATGATCCTATTTAGCAACCACTGTTTTGTTCGATTGGGGAATGTGAGAGGGGCTGTGGGATGCAAGAGAGTAACCTCGATGGTATCTGCCACCTCGGCTGCGTCCACCTCCATTGCAGCGTTGGTCTATTTGTGGCAGTGTTTGCCTGCTTTGTGTACTGGACACTGTGCTCGCTTTTAATGGCACCATGTTGCTCGCTCGCTGCCTGCTCTGATTATTAGACAGATCCATAGCTGGATTTTCTCGTGAGACATCTCAAAAGTTGCTCGCTGCCCGCTTTGACTTTTAGACAGACCCATGGCTGACTTCTTGAGGAGTTGGAGGTCAGAGACTCCAAAGGATTCCAGATCGCCATGTGTGGAGGCCCCCTCGTCGAACTTCTTGGAGGCCCCCTCATGTGTGGCCCAGCTGGTGCCGTGACATTGCAAATGCAGTCCATTCCCTGCCTCTGTCAACTACTCCCCGTCAGCATTCCCCTTTCTGTCCACCCCTTCCCGCCCCTCACAGCCCTCGGCCTCTCATTGTCAGAGGCCACATTTGCACTGTCTCGAGGCAGTCCGTTTTCACGCTACGTGAGTTCGGATTTCGAGCTCTCGGCCACCAAGAAGGACGCGTGGAGGCTTCGTGACTTCCACACGTGGGACTCGGTGTCCTTCCTCGGCTGGCCTGTCAAGAACCAGGAAGGCTGCAGTAAGTAGAAAACAGGATTGCGATTTTCCAGGTTAAATTCTTGCACACCTTTTCTATTCTGCTATACTCCCCCCCTTTCCTGTCATTCAGGTAAGAACGAGTAGATAATCGCCTCTTTTTTTTTTTTTGTCCTCTCCACACTCCTCCTCAGATGCGTGCTGGGCGTATGCGGTGGTGGCGAGTGTGGAGGCGGCATACGGCATTGCAAAGCAGCAGAGCGCTCCCCGGCTGGCAGTGGAGGCGCTCTTTGCGCTCATGGGGCTCTCCGACTCCGACAAGTGCTCCGCTGGTGGCTCCCCCACCCACGCCTTTGAGACGCTCGTGGCCCTTGATGCCTCCAGTGGACTCACAGGGGCCAGCGACCCGGTAGGGCAAACAGAATATGCCATGAGATACAGGATTGGGAGCAGTAATGCCTTAGAAGCATCTCACTTCGGAAACTAGGCAGTTATTTCCAGAGCAGCAGAACGTAGTGGTTTGTCAGTGTTTTTGCCTCTGCTAAGGTGGAAATGTTTTCTTTATTTTGTCCTTAACTCTTGATTCTTTGCTCTTTTTGAACTCCCCTTCCCCCTTCTCCAATACCCCACGCCCCAACGCCTCTATTTTCCCTTCCTACATGATGCTCGTGGTCCCAGGCGACAACGTATCCAGTGCAGTCGTTTGAGCGAGCGCAGTTCAAGGGGTATGTGGGGCTCATGATGGCAGTGCAGAACCAGCCAGTGGTGGTTCACATCCAGGCGTCTGCTGCCACGTTCATGCTATATGACGGGGTGAGTGATTCACTGCAGCCCTCACTAAGCATAATGTCGTGCTGTCACCTTGTGAATGGTCAACACAGGGCTGGCAGAAGTAGAGAACTGCCAACATGTTGGATCAAATAACAGATATTCAGGCTGCTATTGTATAAACCTATGATATTCTTCTATACCAGCTTCATACATGACGAAAGTTCTTGCACTCCCCTGCTCTTTTCATGGACGATTTTCCCTCATCTCACTTTCAGACATATAAATACCAGGATCCTGGTTGCTACACGGGCAGTCTCAACCATGTTGTACTCGTTATTGGGTACTTCATTACAAGAAATGATGGCAGCCAGAACCGCATTGCTCCACCGTTCTGGATCATCCGCAACTCGTGGGGAGAGGATTGGGGCGACAAGGGTCACATGCGCATGGACATTCAGGGAGGGGATGGCGTGTGTGGCATCAACGTGCTGCCTGGCATCTACCCCATTGTCAAGAGTGAGGCACCGAACCCAAAGTTATCAAGGTGATGGATGGAAGTGAGAAATATAAGGCAGATTATAAGCTTGCTCGAAGAACTAGAGAGCATATGTAGCAAGGTAAGAAGGAAGAGAATCTGGAGAGGAAGGGCAAACTTTGTGACGTGAAGGCCACCGGAAGTGTGGCCCCATGACCAATGGTCACAAATGTGATTGGGTTGGGGTAAGCAATACACAAATTTAAGGCGTGTTAGAGTATATGGTAGCATGCTAGGCTTTTGTGACTGAGCACCAAATGTGGCGTACAATCGAGGTGGGCATGTACCCCAATTTGGGTGTACATATGTGTTGGGTGCCAATCCACCCTTTTGTGGTGGAGCTTTCAACACAAGCAATGTGGTGATTGGTGGTCCCTCCACATTTGTCCCAACCTTGTGATTGGGTCACCCAAATACATTGTGGAACCAATTGTGATTAACCATTCCAACCCCAATATGCCCCCAACCACCTCCTTCCCTTCCATCTCGCTCTCCATCCTATGTATACCCCTTGATAAGATCACTGTCTTGCTTTCTCATAACGTGATTATGTTCATTCACCGTTGTACAACCATGTAGAGACGAGCAAAAATTGAACACGAAATGGGCCGGGTCGAACTCGCCTCCAGATCGAATTGAACCGGTTTATGTGGAGTCTAGGTTCAAGGTTCGACCCTTGTACTCGAATCTTCAGCCATTGGGCTCGACATGGGGGAATCACGCAGTTTAATGGTTTAGGTTCGGTACAATACGACTCGGAACACCTAGTTAAACCGAACCGAACCAGTTCGACCCTAACCAGTGCAGATTCGAGTCAGAAGTTTTTAACAGAAAGAAGTTTGGTCTGAGTATACACGAACCAGTTCAGCTGACCAAACTTCAGTTTGGTGTTTGCTCATGTCTACAAACAGCTGCAATTGTGGTACCATCAATCCACAACTGTTTGTGCTTAGGGGCTCTGCGACAATGGTCCTGTTGGCACCCCAACACAAGTGTGTACCCAAGAACGTATGCATTCAACAAGAGTACACCCACACATGTACACTACTAAGCTAACAATCTTCAAGATATTCTAGGCATTGGACGATGGCTCTGCAGGTGTGCATTGACTGTACTTGGATTGACCTATTCGCTCCGTAAACGGCTGCGCGTCTGCACTTTGCCTGTTTGAAAGGCCACGGGATGTCTCTTTCTAGCAGCGATAGGGATGAGCAAAGGGCGAACACGAACATGTTCGTCTTCGCCCCTTGTCGAACACCCTCTTTTGCCGAACCGAACACTGTTCGGTCCGGCGAACAGTTTAGGAAAAAACAGGTGTTCGCTGTTCGCCTGTGGAGGCGTGTTCGGGCGAACCTCGAACACGTTCGTGTTCGCCACGGGGCGTTCTGCAGCAGCGCCACGAACACGAACGTGTTCGGGCGAGCATCGAACACATTCGGGCGAACGATTTAAGCTGAAAAACAAAACCTGTTCGGTTCGCCTCGAACGTGTTCGAGGCGAACCGAACAGGTGTTCGCCACCTTGCTCATCCCTAAGCAGCGAGGCGTGGTCAAAGGTGTGACCCGGCCACTTTGAGCGAACCAGCAGCACTCCTTAGTCAAGTGTACGCATGGACATAATAATGAACCCCGGTTGCAACACACGACAACTGTGGTCAAACATTTGCTCATACATGTGCCGACCACTGGGTAATCTCTTTCATCCTCATTGTAATTACACGTGTTTCATGTGTACCCTCTCCTCTATGCCACTTGCCAGTTCCAGGGGACCCTTGCGGTCAAAGCAGCTACCAGGGAGATCGACCGCAGCCCGTCATGAACCCGTGCGGCCGGTTTCAGTGCAGCAGGACTGCAGAGAGCACCAATAACTGCACCTGCAACATCCCTACCGCTATTGTGCAGCCTTTTGTACAGATCGAGAATGGAAATGGCTTCAACACATGTGCATATCGTACGTTCAGTGGCAAGTGAAACAATGGTTTCGCAGCACTGATTCCACACTCAATTATGACAAACATTTAATGGCTTCCACACTCTCACTCAGTCTTTAAAAGTATGCGATGAGTAGCACAGGCAGAAGGCATGGAGTCACGACCACCAGGTGAGTCTCAGGCCATCTCACCATAGGAAAACGGTAGAGCGGAGCTGATTGAGCACTGCCCAATGTCGCTGATGGTTTCTTGTCACCACCTAGGACGTGTTCATTATGCGGTTGACCTGGTTCCTTGACTATTTTTTCAGATTCCCCCTTCCCTTCATTTCCGCCCTCTCTCCCCATGTTTTCACACTCTTCACGGCTATGTCTCGCTTGTATCCTAATTTCTGCTCGTTTTTCCGGGTACCTTCACTCTCTTCTTCCTGTCTCTGCCTTCTCTTACCCCTGTTTGGCACCAATCCCCATTATCTGCACCATCCACCACCCCCGGAACACGTGTGGCAGTGGACGTGTGTGGGTCATACTTCAAGAACCCCTGCTACGTGGGAGCATGCATCAACGATGGCAAGGGCGCCTACTCCTGCATCTGCCCTCCCAACCACGTGGAAAGCAAAACGCTTTACGGCTTCCCAACCTGCGATCCAGGTGATGCTACGCCAGCGGAAGCACTTGGCTGTAACTATGCCTGTTGGTCTTGTTCGAAATTGCTTGCACAGTGTGGTTGTGTTGTGCCATGATGAACTTGCAGAAATGCATGGTCTTCACATTAGCTCTACTGTAGCCCAAGTAGGATATCATCTCCTATTTCTCTCAACTTCCTTGAACCTTTCAATGAACTCTCTCTCCCTTTCCTTGCCTCTGTCTCACTCCCCGTTCTGCCTGCAGCTAATACCACGGCCACCACAATGACAGTCAGTGGAGACAACTGGTGGTGCTCGGATGTTCATCCACTTGTTGGCCTCTCGCTGACTGACTTCACTGACCAAAACATAGTGGGTGACGAGAGGGTGAAAGTTACGAACCTTCATCTGACATTTGGGTTACACTTCTCAAATCACTTTGTTTTCATATCATTTCACACATTTGATCCCGCTTCGGTTAATTTGATGAGACATCCTTTCACCCTTTCACCCTTCCATCATTCTCGCTTCAACTTGGTGCGAACCTCTGATTCATGCGTGCGTTTCTCAATGCAGGGCATTGATTGCAGCCAGCCATTGCCCAAGGGCAGTGTTCTTCAGCTGGATGGTACTCCCGCCACACCCTGCACTGCCTTCTTCTACACCCTCACTGTGAGACCTGCTGCTTTCTTGACTACAACACAGTATGCACTCAACCAACGCACCTAGTCAACTCAGCACATTGCAACATTGTCGATGCTAGTGAGCAAGCAGCGAGCAAGAAGCATCCCTATCCCTACCTCTTTCCAAACTTCCAGGGGGACACCTGTGCATCTATCAGCGCGGCGCTCAACTTCACTGAAGCTGATCTCGCCACACTCAACCCCGGCCTTGACTGCTCCAAGCCCATCAAAGCGGGCCGCTCCGTGTGCCTCGAGCGCAGTGCTGCCTTCGCCTTCACCGTTGCCGAGTGTGTCAGATACGGCATGCTCACACCTCAGGACACGTGCGAGCAGCTGCTTCAAAGAATTGGCAAGAGCATGTCCTCGTCGGAAGAGGACTCGGATGGCACTACACAAGGGGGTGCCAGTGAGAACCCATGGGCTGCGCTGTACCGCAACAATCCCGGCCTCACTTGCTCCAACACCATCCCTTCCTCGGCCTACGCGACGGGAAGCAAGATTGGCGTACAGGTGAGGGCTGTGAGTAGGAGGAGATGGTGTGGGGGGGAGGAGCTCGAGGTGGGTGTTGGCAAGGGGAATGAATGAGGTAGAGCAAGAGCTGGCTGCAAGATCTTTTGTGGCATTCGAAAGACAATGAGAACCAGTGGAGTATGCTTGATGCCATATCCATGCGATTTTTCAGCAAGGGTGCGTGTGCCTTGTTGCCCTCGCACTGTCACGTTGGTTGTCTCCGACAAACTAACGCTTCATGCACTTTCTTGACATGTATCTTGCAATTCCAGATCTGCCTCGGTGCGGAATATTGGTCATTCCAGTTGGGCATGTGCACCAAGGGGAGGGCCAAGCGAGTAGCAAGAACATTGACATGTTCAGGTGCTTACCGCTTCTATGGTGGAGGAGCTGCTGGTAGTGCGGCGTATACAGACTATAATGGTAAAGCTTGCGCTGGAACAGTAGGAGGAAAGACTATTTGTGTACCATAAAATGATCTATCATTGCTATTCCATGATATCTCTTACCATTGAGCACTCATGGGTACGTTATGTTGTATTCAGTATGTATCTGTTTCTGTCTATAGTAGACACCCATCCAGGCCCTCACTGATTCGTTCTAATCACCCTGACCTGTGCCCTCATGTCAACACAAATGAAAATTTTAGAAAGTGTATAACACTTTTCTAAAAATGCGTATTGAGAAAGCTTGCTTTCTTATTCTTATCAATTGGCATCGTTCTCATTACAAATGGGTGAACGTGGCATGCGTGTTCGCCCTGACATGATTGCGATCGTGGAAAGGTTGTGGTGGGCCGTGGCTCCATGGCAACCAGTAACCCTTGGCGATGACGGAGAGAACGAGGCTGCTGGGGCACCATGAGCTCCACCACGCAAAGGTCGCGCGAAGACGACCGCGCATCTGTGTAATAGTTCTGTCTGTAACGGCAAATTCGTACGGGTCATTGTAGCCTGCCGCCTCGCACCGTCGTGCTCCTGTGCATGGGAGGCAGGCCTCTCGATATCAGGGTAAAACACCCTTATGGCCCTCACTATAAGGGTGGGTTTAGGTGATCACCCTTGTTTTTAAAACTTGTTTTTTGAGGCACCCTTAGCCGAAAAGGTGTTCATTTTGTTAACACTGATTTTTAAGACAGGCCTGGTGTACTCGCCCTGATGACAAAGACTAGTGTCGCGTACCACCCTGATGCGATTTCACACGGCGGGGGGGGGGGGGGGGGGGGGGGGGGGGTGGTACTGACGAGATTTGGGCCGTGATTAGCGGCGTTTTGCTTGAGTCAGCAGATGTGCGCGTCGCCTTGACGGCTCGTGTCGCCACTGCTACAGGCTCATCAACTGTACCTGGCTCACCTGCAATCTTCCTAGCTGCCAATGCCGCGCAGCGCCACACACACCTGCTTTGTGCAGGAGGTGTGTCCACCAGTGAAGCTTCTTCTTCCCTCCCCAGCAGGCCCCCACCCACCGACCAGTCTCTCCCACGCACCCAACCCAGTCCTCCTCGTCTCATTTCTCAATTCTGCCTCCTCGCTATCTCGTCTGGTCTAGAGTTTGCTTTGCACACCACCCCACCACCACGCTCTCCCAACAGCTAGCGTAGGCCCAGCTCCTGCAACCACCCCTCTGGCCCTCGTCATGGCTGCTGACGAAACCACCGATGGTGACGACGAGGCGGGCCGTGAACTCCAAAAATCACCCCCGCGAACGGGCCTCAGCTTTCTACGAACCCCCACTAAGAAGCTGTCAGATCCGGAGCCCGTAGTTGCTTCAACCGAGGACGAAACCCGCGCAGATGATTCAGGGCCTGACCTGCACTCACCTGAAGTTTGCACTACCACGGCGGAACCCTCACCTCCAGAAGCGACGGCTCCTGAAACGGAGATAGGCGATGCGGCTGGCGACTCTGCGAACAAGAAGCGCAAAGAGTCAAGCGGTGGCAGTGCTACGCAGTGGTGGCGACAACCGAAGCCCTCTGTGAAGCGGGCGGCACGTCCAATCCAACGAGTGGAGGACGAGGGAAGTGATGACGACGAGGAAGAAGACGGCCTGCCAACTGTCGAAGAGATGGCCCGTTACCCCGAGGTCGCTTTCGCTAAAGCGCATAAGCGGTTTAAGACTTCATGGGAGTCTTTGTTTCCGTGGCTAATTCTAACTCGTGATGACGTTGGCTTCCCCATTTTGAGATGCAGCACGTGCTTGGAACATGGAGCTGAAGGCGCAAAAACGGCTTATGGCAAGGGAGGCAGTGGAGGGCGTGACATGCAGAAGGGGAGCATCCGGACGCACCAGCGCTCCACCGCACACCACGATGCACACGCCGAGATGAAGTCGAAGGAGAGCCGGAAGCTTCGTCAAACGCTGCTGAGCGAGTTCGAGGGGTTGGATCGCAGCACTCTTCACATCATCACTGCTCTCAAGACTACCGTGTACATCTGCAAGTCGGAGGCGCCAATCACCTCCTACGTGGGCACCATCAAGTTCATGGCCGAGCTCGGAGTCCCGAACCTTCCCTTGGATTCCAAGGGAAACTACTTTTCGGAGTAAGTTTCGGGGTACTTGGTGTCGTTGTACTGGTTCCGTTACAACTGTCTTGGTTGATCACGTGCTAACCTCTGTGCTTGTATCATACAGGTACGGTTTCGGGGAGCTGCTAGAAGCTGGAGCGAAGTACATGCGGCAAGAGCAACTGAAGCAGATCGAGGCGAGCCCGTACATCTCCATTCAGCTCGATGAGAGTACTGACAAGGCGCGCGGCAAGCACATGATAGTCTACGTCCACTTCATGAAGGAGGGAGCGAGCGTCTGCGAGTTCCTCACGCTGCTGACAGTTGACAAGTGTGACGCGGCAAGTCTAGTCGACGTGCTACTGACCCACCTTGACGCCGTGGGCATGGACTTGTCCAAGATTGTTGGAATCAGCACCGACGGCGCCAGAGTAATGACGGGCACCAGCAATGGTGTTGTGGCACGACTCCGGCAGCGGAATCCCTATCTCGTGTCGTGCCACTGCATCGCACATCGGTAAGCCCGTCATTGTTACTGGCTGTATGGCAGGTGTGTGTTGATCATGTACTGCCCACTCACTTCAATCGCTCGTTTCCTCCGTTCTACCTTGAGCAGGGAGGCGTTGGCCGCGAAGGATGCCGCTGAGAAGGTGACGGAGTTCAACATTATAGACCAGGCGGTGCGCAACGTGGCGGAGCAGCTTTCTAGGTCGAGCAACTGGCACCGGCGATTCGAGCACCTTCAGGAGTACATCTGCGAAACCAACCTGGAGCTGCAGGGGATCCACGACGTGCGATGACTCTCTAGAGGAGAGGCAGTCAAGCGGTTTGCCAAGGTTCTGCCGGCGACAATCGTCCTGCTGCACGATTTCAAGCACGCGCTATACGAAACGGTCACCTCTTTCAAATTCCACTTCATGCTTTTCTTCCTTGCAGACATTCTTGCCGTGCTCAACGAGCTCAACGCCAAGTTCCAGAAGCAGCAGGTGACATGTGGAGTGTTTTGGTTGTGCATATAGGCGTTTGTGTCACTGCCATGTTCCTGGTTGGTGTGCGCCGTTGAGACCCATTGTACATCAACCTCTGGCAGCAACTATTCATCCCACGCCCACTCACAGGTTGACATCACCGTGGTCGCGGGGGAGGTGTCACTCGCTTGCCGGACGATCGAGGTGCGTTACGTGGACTGCGAGGATCATTTCGGCAACGATCAGTCGCCCCTGCTCTGCGCGTTCCTGAAGAAACACGGCAACCCCCAGCACCGCGAAGTCACCGTCCAAGGCGTGGACCAGAACGGCGAAGCTGCAGAGCACGAGTTCGTGCTTCACGAGCGCAAGATCCCAGGCCATAAGACTGGCGGGGACTACTATTCTTGCAAGGCGGTGTGCCAGGAGTTTGCGAGGGTTTGCGTTGCGCGACTGGAGTTCCGCCTAGAAGACCTCAAGAACCTGGCCGGCTCCAAGCTTTTCCGGCCATCGTGCTATCCCGACGACAACGCGCAGCGGATGAAGAAGTGCTGCGAGTGGTTGGGCATGCTAGACCACATGTTTCACCACCGCCTCTTTGGTACGCCACCTGGTTGTGCCTGCAATGTGCTGTCTGCTGTGTGTGTGTGTGTACCTTGGTGTGCTATTAAACACCTCCTATACGCCCCGACCGCCCCTCTCACTGCTCTGCTCTCCCATCCTGGCAGGTGTGTGCTTCAAGGCGTGCGAGAGGGAGCTACCGTTGTTTCTCCACACCATGGATACCAACCACGGGAACATGAGCTTCCACAAGTCGCTCTCGCTCATGCTCCAGTCAACTGACTACGTGGCAGCGTACCCGAACCTTGTGCAGCTGTGGCAGGCCGTAGCTGTGCTCCCCCTCAGCACGGTGGAGTGCGAGCGGGGCTTCAGTCGCCAGAACCGTATCAAGACGTGGAAGCGGACCTGCCTGGGCGACGCCAAACTGGGCGATCTGATGACTGCAGCGCTCCTGCCCAGTGATGGTCTGAACTGGGTGAATGTGGTAGCCGTGTTCAATGCTAGCAAGAAGCGCCGTCCTGCCCAGGAGTTTTTGTATTGATTTTGCTACTCTGCTCCCTGCTAGGAGTATTCTGCTGGAACCAGACCAGGCCAGACCATCCTATATGTAGGTCCTGTTGTTGTTCTAGTTCTAGTCATATATTTTATTGTTCTTTGCACGTCATGTCATGTCAACCTAAACATTAAGCGTTGGTTAAAAAAAATTGGTACAACTAACCGAGGGTACATAATGTAACGCTTTAATATAAACATGAAAGGGTGAAAACAATGTGTACACTGAAGAGTAAGAGTACCTTTCCAGCTGACACTGATAAAAAAGACTGACATGGCTGAAAGACATGGGTGCGTGGAATCATGGACATGCGTGCCCACCATGTTGTATCTCGTTCTTTCTCTTTCTCTCTTTCTTTCTCTCTCTCTCTCTCTCTCTCTCTCTCTCTCTCTCGCTCTCTCTCACACACACACACACACTCTCTCTCTCTTTCTGATCCTCCTCTTGATTGTTTCAGAGTCTCTTTGCCAAAACAGTAGGCTTTTAAGAAGGTAGTTTTTTTTTTTTTTTTAATCAAATCAACCAACACACATAGCAATGCTCTCCTAGCATGCATCATGCTACTGAGTGGTGAACTACATGGGACCGAGGGGGTTGTTGCTCCCCTTCCCTATCCTAGGCCCAAAGCCTATTCCTACCCTTCACTAGGGCTGGCCTATTGCCATCGCAAACCCCTAGGGTTGCCCACGGTTTTCGCACTCAAGAGTGCACTGTGCCTAGCGCTCAAGCGCCTATTCCCATGGCCCGCTCCTACACCACCGGAGCGGGTCCTTGGCCGCCGTGCCCGTTCCTAGGGCAGGCACTTGCCACGTGGCCCGGCTGGCCGCAGCGGAAGCACGAGCCCCGAAACCCGCGGCAATTGGCCGTGGGCGGGGGGCCCCGCTTGGGTAAAAACGGCAACGGCGCGTTGTTTCTGCCGCGGTTGGCACGAGCATATCCGCTTGCCGCACGGTCCATTGCCGCCATGTGTGCGACCGCCTGCTTGAAGGGTCGAGAAGTCAGGAGGCTCTTCTGCTGGTACAACTTGAAGCGCTTCGCCGTGCGGAAGTCGGATGCGTCCTCCACTTGAAGCACCTCGAAACGCCCCGAGATGAGGTTGAGAGCATGCGAGATGAGTTCGAGTCCGCCCGCTGGGTCTCCGCGCTGCGCCTTATATTCCGCGTGCAGCAGGTACGCACGTAAGTCCTCCAGCAGCTCCGCTTGCTCTCGCACGGAGTCGTTGACGAATGTTGCCGCCGAGAAGGTGAGGTTAGAAGAAGGGAGGGGGGGAAGGTGTTCCGTGCCATTAAAATTAACATTGTTGACTGGAGCCTCGCCGGCTTCATCTTCAGAGTCGTCGGTGTCGTTGTCGACCGCTGGAGCGAGGGGTGCTGCTGCTGCTGCGTCGTTGTCGTGCCGAATGGTCCTTGCTCCTCGCGCGCCTTTTTCCTTTTTCGCATTTTCTTTTTTAGCCGACGCAGATGCAGCGGGTAGTGCAGTTTCCGCGGCTGTAACGCTGACGGGCTGCTGCTGTAGAAGGGACAGCAGCGCGTTGACCTGGTCCGGGATCAACGCCTGCGTCAACGCAGGGGCGGTCGTCACGTCAGACGAGGAGACCGCCGTCCGCCTCCTCTGGCGCTGACGCGACGGTCCAGCCGCGGGTGCTGGCGTGTGCTCGGCGTCAGTGGCGTGTGCCACGCCCGCGGCCGTCGCCACTTGCGCCGCAGGTGCCACTAGCGCCACAGGCACCTCAGGCGCCACTGGCGCCACTGGCGCCGAAGGGTGCTGCTGGGCGTTGGCCGAATTGTTGACCTCGAGCCCGCCCAGCAGCACGTCCACTGCAGTCGGGGCGGGCGGTCCATCTTCTGCCCGTCGCTTGTTACGGCGTTCGCCCGCCAAATCGCGGGTGTTACGGTCGTTGTCGGAGGCGGGGTTGGACGAGTTCCCGTTGTTAAGTGTCGGCGTCGGTGCCATCGTTGAGCGATTGAAGTTAAAAATATCGTTGAGTAAGGTCGAAGGTGACTCGCCTCTAGGAAGCGATTTTGTTCTAGCCAGCTTGGACGGAGGGATAAACTACGTGCGCAGAAATGTTGAGTTAGCCGTTGGAAAATCGAGAAGCGTGGGTGGAGGGAAACGAACTCCAACCCACGGTTTTTGTAGTTGGAGAAGGGCGTTTAGCGCGCTTCGACGATGCCAATTGTGCAGTACAAGCAGCTTCGCTTTCACAATACACAATTTAAAAAAACACAACGTGTGTTTAAAAATTATAATATTGTGAAAGCGCAGCTGACTGTAGAGCAGTAAGGCAACGTTGAATTACAATGCGGAGAGTACATAATGTGGGATGGAGGCCATTTGGCCTCCACCCACGTCTTCAATTCGGAACTTTGCAGTTCCACTCCCCACCCACCCACCCTAGTCGATTACTTGTATAATATATAGTTGGACGAGAATGTTGAAATTAATGCAATTGTAATGAAGGACGTTGCCCAATTGTAATGAAGCACGTTGCCGTGCCAGAATAGAAAGCAAGTTTTCTCAATTTAAAAAAAGTGTAGCTAGCAAAGCATTTGCAACCTTCACCACGGCTTCAGATTCGTTTTGGGCCACCCTTAGTAATCAGGGTTCTAGGTATAGTCAACCCTGATGCCTAGGGTAAAATTTTTGTTTTCCTGACAAATGCAAGGTAAAAAAACTGTAAGTCTGCCATTACAATTTCTGAGTTGGTTATGTTACAGCGCAGGTCTAAAGGGCCGCAAGTTCGAGTCTTTCGGGATCGTTTTGCGGGGGCCCGCATAGTGTTTCGTCTCGCTACGGAGCATTCGGTCCCAGTATTACTGGGATTGTTTTCTGTACAGTCAGGGAAATAAGTTCCTTATGAGGAAAGTAGAACGAGAATGAAATGACTAAGGAATGGAAGTGATACAAATATGCAACCCTAGAAATGTGTACCCCATATAGGCTACCCCACTATAGCCTACA